GGAAATATTTGCACAGAGGAAGACAGGATTGTTCCAGAAGTGTCCTCTGATCTCTATATGTGTGTATAATCCATTGAACACAGTAACAACCTTCAGTAAATAAATGACCAACACAATTTTGAAAAATCACTTAAGGCCACTAACCACTGGAGGAAAGGCAGATCAAAGCCACAATGATGGTTCTGGTCAGAAGGACAAAAACTAGCCAGGCGTGGTGGCCCACACCTGTAATCCCAGCATGTGGGAGGCAGAGGCAGGATCAGGAGTTCAAGGACAGCCTCAGCTGTACAGTGAACTAGCCTGCACTACTTGAGGCCCTGACTCCAAAACAAAGAAACAAACAGCAAAAATCTGGCGACTCTGTGAAGAAGATGGAATCCTTTTCCATAGTTAGTGGCAATGCATAGTAGTTTGGTCATCCTGGAGGACAGTCTGGGTGTTTTTTAAAAATTAGAAATAAAGCCGGGCGGTGGTGGCGCACGCCTTTAATCTCAGCACTCGGGAGGCAGAGGCAGGCGGATCTCTGTGAGTTCGAGGCTGGGCTGGACCGATAGCCTCCAAAACAATACAGAGATACCCTGTCTCGAAAAACCAAAAAAAAAAAAATTAGAAATAAATCAACATGGTGAAGTAATCTTGATGCTGGGCATATGCCCAGGGCAAGGAAGTCGTCGTCATGCTAAAGAGGCATCTGTCTGTCCCCTCTCACTGTAACACTCACCGTTCACAGCGGCTAAACACGGAATCAACCCATATTTTAAATGTGGTGCATAGGGGCCTGGCAAGACAACTCAGAGGTAGAGACACTTGCTGGCAAGCCCCATGAGCTCAGTGCTATCACCAGGACACACACAATGAAAGGACACAGCCGATCCTCATGAGTCCTTCTCATGCACATGCCATGTCATGCACATACACGCAAAACAGAGAAATAAATGTGCTTTTTAAATGTGATACATATGCAGCCAGGTGGTGGTGGTGGCACACACCTTTAATCCCAGCACTCAAGAGGCAGAGGCAGACAGATCTCTGAGTTCAAGGCCAGCCTGGCCTCCAGAGTGAGTTCTAGGACTGCCTGGGCTACACCAAGAAACCCTGCCTCAAACAAACAAACCAAAATGGCACAGAAGCACAGGAAATGCTATTCAGCCACAAAAAGAATGAAGTCCCACCGTTTGTGGCAATATGGATGGAACTGGAGGCCATTATATTAAGTGAAACGGTTCAGACATAGAAAGACAACTGCTGCATAGTCTCATACAGAAGCTACATAAGCGAGCACAAGCTGTAGATGAAAGAGACGTGTGGGGAAGGGCGTGGAGAGGGGGTGGCTAATGGCTAGGCTGCAAGGCTAACACCTAGAATTCTTTAGCAGGGTAGGGAGACCATGGTTGGCAATGGATTGCATATTTCAAACAGCTGGTACAGAGCGCAGACAGAACCCAGCTCAGGCCACAAGGTCTGTGGCCTCCTCTCACAGACACTGACAGGCACTTTGCTGAGGGTGCCGTGAGCCTTTAGCTGACAACCATCCCTGGGACAGAATCTGTCACCCAGGAAAGTGAGTTTGCAGCAAAGTGTGTATTGGCGGCCACCATACACTGCTCCCCACCAACTTCTCCCGCCTCCTTCCTTCAGTGAGCCTGGCTGTGGGCTTGCACTGTGAAGCCTCCCCCATCCTCACAGAAGAGACCCCACGTCTACTGCGTGGGCCATGATTTCCTCTCTTTGGGGTGCCTGACAAGTTATCTGTCTCTGGTTCTAGAGCCTAGATTCCCCTCAGAGCCTCTGCCATGCTGTCCCTACCTCTCCGTCTGCCCACGGTGTTAAGAACTTTCCCAATAAATTCCTTACTTCCCGGTAATCCAACTCAGTGTCCCTCTTGAACTAACTCCTGCCCTCTGAAGCCCTTCACAGAGGATTTCGAATGCTGCTAACACGAAGAAACGGTCAATGCTTGTGGTATTCGTGGATCACATTGGAGCCTGTCAGTGCATACATACAGCATGAAGCAGACAAATCAGGACACCTCCATGTCCACTGTGATCCATGAATACTGACCATTTCACATGTCGGTTAAACATACATGTGTATGGCAGGGCTTTTGTTTGGTTCCAATCAAGCACCCTCCCTCTCAGAGCACCCCGGAATGGGGGGGGTCAGGCACAGGCGCAGTGTTGGGGAGGTAGGCGGTGGGACAATGACCTGCATAGATCTGCGTCTGTGCACATTTGGGTTTTTTAGGTTTGTTCTCAGCTGCTCCCCCCTTCCCTCCCTGAAACCTGAGTTCTGCTCAATACCCAGAAGCAAGATGCTAGCAGAAGGAGGGATGAGAGGCTGGCCGGAAACGAGGACATGTCCAGGGAAGCCGGGAACAAGTGGGCACCCTGTAATTCTGGATGCCTTCGGCCTTTGCGGCCAGTTGGCCTGGGGCTTGGTTTGCTGTTAGCCCAAGGACACTAGGATCCAGGCTGCTGGGAGGTAGTGACAATGGGCGAGTTATTCCAGAACAAATACAGACCCATGAAGGGCAAAAGTCAAATTTTCCCTGAAAGGTGGGGGTGCTCGATTTAGAGAGCTCCCCCAGGGTGGACTGGGGCACCATCAACTGTGCAGCCTCCTTGGAGATGACCCAAAGATGCCATCCAACGAGCTAGCTCGGAGGCCTGGGGTGGTGACAGACTCAAGACCCCACCCCTCATGGCTCCTCCAGTTTTGAACCTGTAGACTCCCATAATCCATCCAGGGAAGTCTTTTCCATTCCCATTTCCACTCACTTCCTTCTTCCCGCTGGGAGCGCTACCCCTGGGGATCATATCCATCCTCATACTCTCATCCAAAAAAGCTCCTATGGCTCCGAGGCTGGCCTTGGGGGTGGCAATGAGACAGAGGATTCTCTGCTCCAGCCACAGGGCACAGCGCGCATAGTTGCCAGTGGGACATGGCCTGTGGCCGGACGTGTTGGCAGGGCTTCCTCCATACTCAGTTATCTGAGGTCACAGTTAGCTGGTCTTCAGGCTAGAGTTGGAGTTCCCCAGTGCGGTCTGGCCTCCACACCCCCACACTCATGCTGCATAAGGCCGGTTATAAGAAAGGCGTGTCAGGAGGGGACAGGCAGGTAGGGAGGATGCTTCAGAGGCCTTAGTCCAAGGTCACTTGGCCTCATTGCTTTGGGGCTGTGGTTGGGGTGTGGTGGCTCATCTTGTCACCTTGACTGGATTTGGAATTGCCTAGGAGATGCACCTCTGGGTTAATCTGTGAAGGTTTCCACACAGGTTTAATTAAGCCTGGAAGACTCATACTGAACATGGGCTGGGCTCTTGAACAAAAAAATTTTTTTACAAAAAGGTTGGGGAAGGGAATGAGTCAAACACCCTCGTTTATCTTTCTCTGTTTTCTGTCGTGGGGTGCACGTGCTTTACCCCTGCCACCATGCCTTCCCCTCTAGGATGGACTGTACCCTCGAACCACCAGCCAAAGTGAAGACTTTCTTCCTGTGTTGCTTTTGTCAGGTGCATTGTCAAAACAATGAGAAAAATAACCATTGCAGAAGGAGCCCAAGGCAGAGTGAGCTGTTCACTTGAACCAGAAGCAAAGAAAGTCAGGAAAAGGTCAATGTCCCATAATTCCCTTCAAGGACATGCTCCCAAGTGACCTGCTGATTAGTACTGGGTTCCATCTCCTAAAGGCTCGGCCACCTCCCTGTCCACTACAAGCTGGGGACCAAGCCTTCAACACCTGGGCCCTCAGAAGAGCCACAGCATAACACTCTCCAGATCTGGGCTGCACCTGACAGCTCAGCCTTCCTGAAGACGCTATTTGGTGTGATGAAATTGCTGTGTGGTTAAAAGTTCATCAGGACCTCATGCTTACTTGGTTCATGCAACATCCTGGGTTCCATCCCCAGCTTACAACTATGAGGAAAGTTCTAGAACTAGATTGTGGTGGTGTTTGGAAGCAGTGTAAGGGTTATATGGTGCCTGTATTCTCAGCTTTCATGGGCTGAGACCATTGGTTTGCCATGAGTTCAAGGCCAGCTTGACATACAGAGTTCTAGATCAGCCTGCATTAAAATGAAGAAAGCCATTCTTCATGGCCATTTCATTTCTGAGACTATCTGGACTAGGGAAATAACCCAAGATGGGCCCAAACCCATCACAGTACTGTTTGTATCAGTAGAGTGGGAACAGTATCAGTGTCCAAACTAGGGACAACATTAAGTCATCAGAGCAGATCCATAATGTGCACTATCACGTATCTATTGAGTCATTTTCCTTTTTATATTTTTATTCCTTTTGTGTGTATGGGGTTGAAGGTGTCATGTGCGCCATAGCACGTGTATGTGTGGAGGTCAGAGGACAGCTTGCAAGAGTCAAATGTCCCCTTCCATCATAATGGGTCTCAGGCTCAAACTTGGCTCAACTGATTTTACCCACTGAGCCATCTCCCAGGCTCTTAGTGATTTAGAAGGAAAAAAAAAAAAAATGGGGAAGGGCCGGCAGACATGATTCAATGGAGCTCTTATCTCCAAGCCTGACAACCAGAACCCACGCTTGCTGACAGGACAGAACCAGCTCCCTCAAGTTGTCCTCTGACCTTCACACATGCACAGGTCATGACACTTGCATGCCCACAGGCGAACACACACACACACTAAATAAATGTAATTTTTTAATTAAAGGAAAAACCATGGGAAAGGGCCATTAATGTGTTAACACACACACAGTTTTAGCTCTGTTCTTCAGCTGAGACACAGGAGTGTGCTTACCAGGAGAGAGACTAATTTGGATGGGAGGCGCTCTTTGCAATAATGCTAAGCACTTCAAAACAGTACCTGGTTCTCCACAATGAACTGGGCCCTGATCTCTCCAAGGTCTCACTTGCTATTGTAAGAACACAGAGCCAACCGAGGTATTCTGGGCCACAGGGTCTCCTTTGCAAAGGTCGACTATATATGAAAATACTAAGAGACAGAATAACCGGAGATTTCTGGGCGGCAGTGGTGTTTATAAAGTTTTTATTTCCATTTTCTTAAAAATAACATTTGCTTTCCTTTATGCATGGGTAGAGTGAACTTGTTTCCCTAGGCTGAGTAATAGGCAGATAAAGACCACGCACGCACGGCAAGGTGAGGGATCCCAGGTGGAGGCAGGTGGGGATGGGCAAGGCTTGAGGGGATGGGGTGCAGAGGAAGGGGAGAGAGTGGGATGACCCACGGGACGCTTGAGTGCCCATCAACGCACACACAGGTCTAACACGTTCAATTTTTTTAAAAAGACATCTAAATTACTGAGAGATACAATGTCAGCACTTATATCTACAGACAGAACCCAAGCACTTGACCACAATTGTTAACTCTAAGCTCAGTTATTGAACATGAGACAGTTTAAGTAGGACACGGCTGTGAAGCGGGGTGCTCTGCCTGGGACTTGTGAGGGGTGTCTTGAATCTCCCTTTGCAACCCCCCCAGGTCCTTCTCTGGGACAACGGCAGGCCAGAAGGCCCAATATGACCCAGGTGTCAAAGATGGGCCCCTGATTCTCTCCAAGGGCTCGGGCTCAGGCTTGGGTGAGATGATACCGAAAGACCCACCCACCTACTCAGCGGTGAAGCCGGAAGCCGGAAGCAGAGTTCAAGAAAGGCCAAATGGGTGCCAACCCAAAACAGGGGGTTGGGGTAAGAAAGGGCCTGTGCCCATCATCAGGTGAGGTCACAACCCCTGTGGGACACTGGGGGCAAGTCAAGATGTCCCATGTCTCTCGCCAACTTTGCCTCCTGCCAGAGTTCCCCAGGCTAAGCTCCACCCCATTGCTCCTGGGACCTCTGAGTGAACTCTCAAGGCACATTTATTCCCTCTGACCCCAACCTGCCCCACCCTACACCATCCCTCCCAGCACCCAGGGGCCCAGGAGGCTCCCAGTTGGGCAGTTCCAGGGCCCCTGTGAGATGTGGCTCTGCTGTAATGTGTGTGAACTCTTTTCAACGCAGCCCTAACTCCCCTGCCCACGCGAAGGGCATGAGAGCAGGAGGAACTAAGAGGGGCTGGGCAGGCACCTTAGTCACGGGTGAGGCCACAGGACTGACAATGATCTAACTTGTGACCTGAGGAAACCCAAAGCTTGCTTAACCAGAAGCCACTTGGGGGCCTTCGACCCCATCAGGAACAGCTGTTCTGCCTATGTTTGTGGGGCTCGGGCTCGGTGAATCCAAAGCAGTTATGGAGGCTCTAGAGAAGGGCAAGCTTTCTGGACCCCTGCAGGCCTGCCACAGGCGAGCTCAGCCCCTTTTGCTTTCTTCGGGACATATTTACAAAGTCAGATACACAACCAGAAAGCCCTGGGATACACAGAGCACAGCAAATCTGCCCCCCAGGGTGGTGGGGATGAGCAGAGTGGACGTAGAGGGTGCTTCTTCCTCTGTACCCCTCCCCATCCCGGTGAGCCTAATATCCTTCTCAGCTACCCAGGAACATTCTGGAAATCCAACTGGGGCAGAGGAAGATCAGACTCCAGTCTAGTGAGAGCGGGAAGTTTCAAGTAACTCCAGCCAGAGGAGTGGCGGGGTGGTGAAGGAGGTGGATGGAGAGAAGGAGGAGGGTGGGGAGGAGGGTGGGAAGGAGGAAGAAGATGGAGGAGGAGGAGGAGGAGGAGGAGGAGGAGGAGGAGGAGGAGGAGGAGGAGGAAAAGGAGTGGCTGCTTCTGGAATGCAGAGGGCTGATGTGACTGAGCCAGGGACCAGAGGAAGGTGGCAGAGGCCTGAGGAAGAAGGGGAGGAGGAAGAGGATGGAATCGGGCGACACCTGGAGAGTCAGAACTGTGTTGTAGAATGAGAAGCACTTGATGGAGCTTAGTGGCATTTCTGTCTGTCCCCCAGGAGATGGCAAAGAATGTGGTCATTCCAGGGTGGCAGAAAGAAATAGGAAGGATGATGAAGCTCTTCCCCAGAGTCCAACCAACTCTCATCCAGCCAGTGCCCCAGGATGCCAGGGAGAACCACACTGGGGCCTTGGCCTGGAAGCCTCCCAGCACTCCCAGCACACAGAAGGTCTCCTCCCTAGCCATCAGGGTGGCCCCCAGGTGTGCTTCTCTGTCTCTCTCTCTCTCTCTCTCTCTCTCTCTCTCTCTCTCTCTCTCTCTCTCTCTCTCTCTCTCTCTCTCTCTCTCTCACACACACACACACACACACACACACACACACACATGTGCCAAGGCCCAGTTCCAGGTAAGGAATTCTTCATCAAATACATTAAGAAATTTCCTTTGAAAAGGGAGAAATGGGAGACAATAAACACACAGAACCCTGTAGGGCATCTAGGTAAGAGGACCTCCCATGGGCCTGGAGATTTGGGGCCACGGGGATGTATGGCCTCAGAGCCCAGCTGCCCAGTGTTGTCACCTGTGATGCATTGTTCTCTACTCATATATGCTGAAGGACTTTAATAGAGCTTGGAGTGCAATTCTGCCAGGGCTGTCTTGGGGACCCTTGAGACAGAGGAGACCCCGTGATTAAGAGGGCTGTGACTGTGGTGGCTCTCCTCCAGGACTATCTCAGGGTACAGGAAATGGCAGCCTCCCACTGCTTCCTCACATAGGGTCTCTGAAGCACACCTTCCTATTGGTCTGGGCAAGAGGGGACTACTTTCTTAGAGGGTCAGGGAGGAGGTGGGCACGCATATGCTGCTTTCTGGTCCCCTGCCCATTAGGACAAGGGGAACCCTAGCCAGGAGACAAAGGGAGCAGCAGGAAGACCTCACAGCAGGCTGCACCAAAGCTCAGCTCCATGATGACAGCCCCCTTTGTCAAGAAAGCATCCTACATGCCCAGGAGGCAACAGGAGCTGGCTGGGTTAATCTGAGGTCTGGCATCGAAGGACCTGCCCTCCCCTTCATCACAGCCTCTGCCTGTTCTCCTGGGCTATCTCTGGTTTCCTAGGAATAAGTTAAGAGATAACCTATTAGGTGTTTCCAGCCTTTTGACATTGGGATAGAGCATTGTCATCTACTAAGTTGACACTCAAGAACTCCTTCGTCCAGTTACCTCCCCACCACAAAAAAAAAAACCCACCCATGTCTTAAGTAAGTCTACAGTTTGGGGTTGGGCCACATTGATAGCTATCCTGAACCAAATGCAGCCCAAGGGCCATGGCTAGACATATCTGCAACCAGTCCTTCAGATATCAGAAGGGTAAGCATTGCTGTATGCAGGGTCCGGCCCATCATCACTAGAAGATGGCCGGGCTTTCACATCAGATCAGTCTGATTTGGGGAGCATGCCCAACTTACAGCTTCCCGCCCTTCCTCTCTTTAACCTCAGAAGGTAGAGGAAGAAAGGCGGGAAGGCGCAGGGGGAGGTAGCACTGATTGAGCCGGGAGGAACAGCAGGTGTTGGGTTGAGGGGCAGGATCAGGGGCATCTCATATCGCTGATTTTGGCGCATTAGTGTGTACATGTGTGTGAACTTGTGCATTTTAAAATCAACAGCAAAGGAAAAGAAAGAAACTACAAGGAGGAAGGGGCCTTTGGGTGTTTCACTGCCAGGAGCAGCATGGATCAAGGACACATCTGTCAGCACATGCCACACGCACACGACATACGTGCACGCATGCGTGCACACACGCACACGCGCACACACACGCCAGTCACACATGCCACACTCTCCATTCCGGTCCTCCCCGCTGGAGCCAGGGCCCTTCACACTGACTTCCGGATCCATTTGCTAAGTTGCCTGCTGTCGTCCAGGTTTCTTCTGGCCTGTCTCTCCGGCCATCGGCACCCTGGCCTGCCGAGGCCCCGGAGCGCCGTCTACCAGATGTAGCCTCCATCATCTGCCTCACCAGCCTCACCCTCCTCCTCCTCGGCCTCCTCTCCAGCCTCTTCTGTCTCCTTTTCCTCCTCGTCCTCCCAGCCGACACCGCTTCCAAAGTCCCCTGAGAAACCCACAATGTCATCTGTCGGGAACAAGCGGAAGGCTGGTAAGGAACCTGCTGCGCCTACTCGCAGTCAGGGGTCCTGCCCCACATACATGAACCCAGGAGCAGGTTCTCAGGAAGCTTCCAGAGCCACCAGCTCTTACCACAGTCAGGGTTCCCATGCATGCGTGTGCCTGTCAGCTCCAGGCCCATCTGGTCCACGCACCAACAGTCACCACTGTTCTGGTCACACTGCATCTTCCGGTAATAGCCATCCTCATCGCAGCTCGGGATGAAGACGCCTGAGGGTTAGAACACCTGAGGGTGGGCTCTGGGGTCTCGAGTGTGAGAAGGAGCCCCGATAGCCTCGGAACCTGGCCAACCTGGCACTGGACAGCCACCCACCCCCACCCCAAGAAACCAGACACTCGGGATTGTTTCTTCTGTCACTACTGACTGGAAGCACAGAGCTCCCTTCCCCAACGTCCCCAAATCACATGCACAGGCTACTTCGAGGGTGCCATTGACCGCTGTTGTGTCTTGGGTTCCATGACTGCCTTCTGGTAGGACATTCTGTCCTCATCATGTTAGAAAGCTTGATCCCACTCTTGGCTTCTCCCCAGCTAGGAGTGTAGGGACTCTCTGCCTTCTTCAGGGCCCTCTAGTTTCTCTCAGGCCCCCCAAACTATCCCCCAGACGTCTTCTGAGATGTTTACTTGCAGAGGATAAGAGTCATAGAGGCAGCCAGGGTGAGTGTGGGTGCCCTAGAGTAGGAACCCTAAGACACGGGGACCTGCTTCAGGGAATGGATGACAGAGTAGCTCCCTCTTCAGGGCTGGAGGTCAGCGGGCCCACTCAGCATGGCCCTGTGGGTGCTTGGGGACTGCATGTTCATTTAGTGTGTCTGTCTCATCAGCCCAGGCAAGTGACTCTCCAGGAGCTACGAGGCCTGGGCTGTGTGCCAGTCCCTCAGGATCACAGCACCCTCGACATCACCGCTTTTCCTGCTGGTTGTTTTGTTTTGGTTTGTTTTTGTTTTTTTTGGAGGCCTCAAGATTTTTCCTGACTCCGACAGTGTATGTGTCTGGCTTATTACCCTCCCTCGGGACATTCCAAGAATAGTTCCCTAGAAAGATCTCTGCTGACCTCTCTCAGGAAGCTTATGCCCCTACACAGCAGTCTGAGCTGGGAATCCTCTCGGTGGTTTGATCTGTGTGTTGAGCATCCCCGTGGCCAGTCTGTCCAAAGGCCTTGCTTGGCCAAGAACCCATCAGTTCTCGCCTAGGCTGGACTGGCTCTCCCGCCTCACCAGGGCTTTCCTTTAGAACAGGAGTGAATGTCTCCCATGGAGGGGCTCCACTCCAGCCTTAGACACACATCCATTACAATGAATCCAAGCAGGGGATTCCCCAGCAGTGGCCCAGACAGCCATAAAGTGCTTAAACACACTCCCTGAGGGGCAGCTGAGGAGACTCTTGCCTACCAAGCCCATGAAACCAAGAAGAACATTTTCCTGTGTGCTTCTAGGCCAGGTAGGTCCATCACATGCCATAAAGCAGGGCAGTAGGCATCTCTGAGCCTCAAGGGAACTCAGGGCAGCCCCCCTGGTCTCCTCCTCTGCACCCCTCCTCACCTGGCTTCTTTTTGGCTGCCTCCTGGATCTGTGTGCGCTCTAGCTCTGCCAGGCAGGGGGGCTCTGTAGAGAGAAGCAGTCTTACGGTTAACCCATGGTGTTGAAAACACCCCTAAACTTAGAAGCCTTTGTGGGAGCTCTGTAAAGTAAAACACCTGAGCCCTCCCATCAGACCACACCAGGGTGGGTGGTGGTATGCATGGATCCCACTAAGATTCTCAAACCAGTGTAGGGCTCTGCTGGGTGAAAACTCCAAGTATCTAGTTAAGGTTGGCTACTACAACTAAGGATCCTAAGAACCCCAGGGCTCTTTAGGGGTGTTGGCACTCATAGGATGAGTTTTTAAAAATTCAGAAGAGAGCTGGGTGTGGTGGTTCGTCTCTTAATCATAGCAGAAGCAGAGGCAGGTGGATCTCTGCAAGTTTGAGGCCAGCCTGGTCTACATAGACAGTTCCAGGACAGCTAGAGCCAGATAGTGAGATCTTGTCTCAAAAAAAAAAGAAAAAAGAAAAACAAAACCCAAATCAAAAGCCCTGATGGTTTGAATAGATATGGCCCCATAGACTAATGTGTTGGAATGCTTGGCCCATAAAGAGTGGCACTATTAGCAGGTGTGACCTTGTTGGGGTAGGTGTGGCCTTGTTGGAGATGGGCTTTGAGGTCTTATATGCTCAAGCTACGCTCAGGGTGGCATGCAGTCTCCTTCTGTTGCCTGTGGATCAAGATGTAGAATTCTCAATCCCTTCTCTGCCTGCATGCCACCAAGCTTCTTGACATGATGATAATGGGCTAAACCTCTGAAACTGCAGGCCAGCACCAATTAAATATTTTCCTTTATAAGAATTGCTGTGGTCAGGTGTTGGTGTTGCATGCCTTTAATCCCAGCACTCTGAAGGCAGAAGCGGGTGGATCTCTGTGAGTTCCAGGCCAGCCTGGTCTACAAAGCAAGTATCAGGACAGCCTCCAAAACAATACAGAGAAACTCTATCTCGAAAAACCAAAAAAAAAAAAAAAAAAAAAAAAAGTTACTGTGGTCATGGTGTCTCTTCACAGTAATAGAGACCCTAACTAAGACAAACACAAAACAAAACTTACTTAACTCCCAGACCTGAAAATAGCTGGCTCACCTCTACTGTCTGAGGCCTTGGGGGCACCCTGCCCTTCTAAACCAGGGGTCTGCCGAAGAGTAAAACCAAACAGTTCAAGCCTTCTGCCATGCAGAAGGGACAGGGTGGACATCAAGAGACTGGGGAGTGGACACGCTAGAGAGCACAGGCAGCAGAGAGGCTGGTCAGCACACTGAAGACCAAAACTGCTCACGGGGCCTTGCATCACAGAGGGATGCGTGACTCCCACAGTGCTGCACTCACCGCAGCCCCTGCGTTAGATAGTGTTACCTCCCAGTGCAGATACAGGAGGGAACTCACAAAGATGTGGTCACTTGTCTGGGACCCCAAAATAGTGCATGGTGGAGACCATGCCATGTCTCAGTCTTTGGTGGCAGATACTTCTCACATAGCTGGCAGGGAGTCAAGCGCTGGGCCTACTCCAGCTGCTCGCCAGTCAGCTCACTTGTCCCTTTGAGACCATAGTTTTCCCATCATTTGCCCTTGGCCTGGGTGATGTCCAAGCATACATCCGGTTCTGGCTCTGAGCATCTACAGCTAACAAATGTCATGCAACAGGTGTGATGGTATGCTCTGTACTCCCAGATCTCAGGAGGCAAACAAGAGGATTGCAAGTTCAAGGCCAGCCTGGGATACAGAGTGATTTCTAAGACAGCTTAGTCGATAAGATACCCTGCCTCGAAAAGATGAAAGACATACAAATAAAAGCCAAAGCTGGGTGTGGTGGTATATGCCTGAAATCCCAACATTGGGGACTACAGGAAAGGATGGTTTCAGACACATGGTGAGCTCCAGAACAGCCTAGGGTGTATGATATCCTACCTCAAAAATAAATAAATAAAAATAAATAAAAGAACGTCTTCACATGTGTCTTTACGCAAACAATAGCTTACATAACCATTTGTTTGGGGCAAAGTAGGTGTGCCCATCGGAAGGGGAATCACTGGAAAGCTAACGTGTCTTCCATTCCCACCATCCCTCACAGATCCTCCAAGGGGCCCCAAATCTTCAGATCCACGATTGTGTGTTTATCATGTGTGTATGATGTATGTGTACGTGTGTGTGTGTTCCTGTATTTGAGAGGGCAGGCATGTGCCCACCATATGGCACATATGGCGGTCAGAGGTCAACTTTGTGGAGACAGATCTTTCCTTCCACCTTTATGTAGGTTCTAGGGCTGGAGCGCAGGTCAACAGCACAAACGCTTTACCCACTGGTCCAGCCCATAGCCCCACATTTATTATCTTTTTTCAGAAGTGCACCAGCTTCAGGCCCCCACAAAACCCAGCCCACCCTGGGAGCCTGCCCAGGGACAGAGCTAAGTGTCAACTGCCCTGCGGTTCTAATTGATGAGCGAAGCCCAGATAGATACAGCAAGGAGGTGGCCTGGTAAGGCTCTGGGCCCAAGCACGTGACCAAGAGCAACTATTCCAACTACCGAAGAGAGGCTAGAGCCGGGGCTGAGCGCCCCCAGGAAGGAGGGCAGTGCCAGAGAACCACAGGGCCATACTCACTCTCCCTCCAGAAGCAGAGGCACCACTCAGCAGTAGAGACACGGCCATCTTTGTAGGTATCACAGGAGTTGAAGAAGGGACGGATGCAGACCTCGTATTTGTCCAGGTTGATAGCAGCCAATTCTGTCTGGTCCAAGAAGAGGTCTCCACTGGTGTCCAGCTTGGAGAACATCCAACCGATGGAGTCCTTGCAACTGGCCCCCAGGTTCTTGTCCAGGCCTAGGGAGGAGACCGGGGTTCAGGTATGCTTTGCTGTCTGTCCATCCATCTTGCCACATGTTTCTCAGCCCGACCTCCGTTCAGACTCAGGAAGCTAACCTCAGGGTACAGAAAATAAAGAGCAGCCAAAGGCCTTTGCCTCTACCCCTACACAGAACTACACCTGAACCACTTAGGCCCATTTTAGAAGCCCTTCAGAATATGTTTCTTCAAAGGCTGGAGAGATGGCTCAGAGGTTAAGAGACCTGCCTGTTCTTCCAGAGGACCCCCGTTCAATCCCCAGCACCCACATGGCAGCTCACACCTGTCTGTCACTCCAGTTCCAGGGGAACTGACACCCTCACACCAATGCACATAAAACTGAATAAATCAATTAAAAAAAAAAGCTCCTGTACCCACATCATGTCATAGCTGAAGCCAACCTCCCTTCTTCCAGGTGAAGTTCTTTGGAGGTTCACATCATAGGCTCGGGATCTGACAAGAAGGGCCATTCCCGTGCACATCTGTCTGCTGGGCCCCTTCCTGTCTCCCTGCTCCCCCACCCCATCCCAGGCAGAGCATTGGTCGCCGTGCCACCTGCGGGGCTGGCTGCACTGCTGGCTGAGCCATTCTGCTTGGAGTTCTCTCGAAGGAGCTGGAACCAGTCGCGGAGTCTATCCCCCAGGTCGGCCAGGTCCTGTCCTGTGCAGGTCTCTGCAGTGCAGAACAGAGCAGAGGTTGGAGGAGGGGTGGGGTGAAGCAGAAACCCTGGAGGCTGGGCAATGTTCCGGGGGATAGAAGGGAGGAGGAGCTTCCTCTAGTCCCATTTCCAATCCCCCACCCCCACCCCTTGCTCTGCCCCTCCCTCCCATTCAGTCTAGCCGGTCTCCTTGTGGGAGGACTACCGCCTTCTCTCCCACTTCCCCAGCACCCTCAGAAAAGAAAAGGGACAAAGCCCCAGCGTCCTGCTCCATGTCACCAGGCCCCCAAACTCCACAGGTCCCAACACCTTTCCCTGTCATGACCAATTGTTCCTTCCCATTCTGCAAACTATCCTGCAGTCCTGAAGGGTGATTACCTGACTTGTCATCGGTGGTGGACGTAGTCGCCTGCTCCGTGGGACAAGGACAGGGGCCCTCACATCTCACCGCCAGCTGCTTGCTGCTCAGGCACGCCTGTTGTTCCAACTTACACTGCATGAGAGAGTTCAGGCTAGGTGATGGGGGCTCAGCTATGGGTCCTGCAGCCAGGGGCCCCGAGGGTTTCTATCACCCCAGAAGGAAGGACCACGGGCTTCTGTGCTTTCTAGAGGACACCAAGGCCGAGGGAGGCCCAGGGATGTGCCTAGGGCCATGAGTTTGAGGTGGAATCCAGACCTCTTGGACCTTTCCTGGAAGCTTCCTGCCCACAAGACACCTTGTCCTCTCATGTGGGATACGGCTTCTTCCTCCTCCCCATCTGGCCCCTCCCTCTCTTTTCTCCTTCCCCTCTTCCTCTCGACTCGTCTCTCCTGTCTCTTTCTAGCTTCTTTGTAAGCTCCATGGTTCCTACATTCAGTCTCATACCTATGGTTCTTTCTCTCCTCTCTTTCTTCCCCTCCCCACACTGTGACCACATCCCCTCAGCAAGGACCTCTTTTGCTTTTGAGCCTGTCCTGAAATTTGCTTTGTAAACCAGGCTGTCCTTGAACTCACAGAGATCCACCTGCCTCTGCCTCCCATGTGCTGGGATTAAAGCCACCATGCCCGGCTCAGCAAGGACCTCTTACATCTACATCTTATGCCAATCCAAAGGCTTTCCCCAGGGCTGGGGAGGCAGTGCGTGGTTAAAGTGCTGGTCGTACAAGCATTGGGACCTGAATTTAGACCCCCAGAAATCACGTGAATATCAGGTAGGCATGGGGCCCATCTTTAAGTCCAGCCTCAGAAGGCAGAAACAGAGGATCCCCAGGGCAATGTGGCTAACAAGATTAGCAATATCACTGGACTTTCAGTTTAACTGGAGAATCCTAACCAACAACTAAGAAGGAAGAACAGTGGCGGAGTCCCAACATCAACCTGTGTGTGTGTGTGTGTGCGCGCGCACACACACACATGTGCGCACACACACACAAATAGAAGAAGAACAAAAAGGGTAGGGGGTCTCCTCAACTCAACGTTAGCTAAGCAGCCCTAGCTTCTAAGCATCCCTAGCATCTCACTTCTAGAAGCATTACTAGCCAGCACCTATGTGTCCCTGGAACTCTTAAGTTTGTAAAGATGCATTCACAAATATCTTCTCAAAATTCCACAAGGTTGGAGTCTGTGCCCCCTACCCCCAAAGGTCTTCCCTACACCTTCTGATGGAGCCTGTGCCCTGCCCACATCGCCCCCTGCTGGCTGGTGAGCATGGAGATCTCAGTGTCGAAGTCCTTTCTTCTCCCCAGCAAAAGTGACCAATGAGCTCCCTCCTTCCATCCAGGGCCCTGAGTACGTCTGTGCACATTTCCCTGGCTTACTCCACATGCATTACCTGCCCAAGCATCCCTTCAAGTCTCTTCCCTGCCCTCCATCTGCCCAAGGCCGGATCACCCTGCCCAGTCAGTATCAGTCCTAGGAACTCTTCAGGAGGTCAGTCAGTGGTCCCTCTGTTCCCCTGGCACTGGGTACACCCCACCTTCACCCCACACACGACCAAGGCTCCTCACCACGGAACTGTAGGTGTGGCCATCTGAGCCACAGACTGACGCGAGCTGGGCCATGTGGCAGGGCTTGCAGGTGGAGTCTTTGTTTCCGTGGAGTTTCAGAGAGGGCTGTTTGATCCTGCGAGAACGAACGGGGAAGATGTGGGGATGGAGGTAACGGGGACAGAGCTGGCAGAAGGCCCATGAGACCTTTGCTGGCAAGACTCCAGTCCAGCGACCTGCAGTAGCTGCTCACCCACCCTGCCCAGCCTCTCCCATCACTCCCGAATCAGACCCAGCTCCTAAGAATGGGCCAACTGGGCAGGACATGGACCCTCACTTGGCCTTTTTCAGGGAGCAAAGAGAGGTCTGATTGCAAGAGGGATCAACAAAAGCCGAGGTCATGGGCCTCACCTGGTGGACACACAGTCATTTTGTCTAACCACCAGGCAGTTACTGTTGTGTCTTTCATGAACATTCGCAAAATGGGAGAGTTGGCACAAAAACCCCAAACGCCCCTCAATGTCTCCTCCTCCTCCAATATTCTGTGAAACCCCCACATGTCAGAACTTGGGTTATCTGGTCTAACCTGTTTGTCTTAGATACACAGGATACCCGGTCAGGAGAGCTGGTCCTGTTTTAGTGAGATGTGGCGTGTCTCTGTCTCTGTCTCTCTCTGTCTGTCTGTCTGTCTGTCTCTCTCTCTCTCTCTCTGTGTCTGTCTCTCTGTCTCTCTCTCTCCCTTTCTCTCCACTTTCTCTCCATTTATGGACAGCCAGTTGCCACAAGGCTGAGAGCACCCTAACCTCCCTAAGGAGCTTACCAGTGACTGGGAACTCACACCACTCACGCCTCCCAACAACAGCCAGGAGGACAGTCCAGGCCCAGCTTCCCCTGCATCTCTGTGGAACTCTGAAATTCAAACTTGCACAAATATCCTCTCCTTAATCCTCCGGCACCAAAACAAAACCAAAAGATCTCTCGAGGTGGGAATCTGTTTCCTCCTGGTTCTTTCATTTTCTCGCAGAGACCATGTCTTCCTGCCCACAGTGGCCCCTGCTCGCTGGTGAACATCAAGACCTCAGAGGGAGAGTCATCCTCTTCTATCACAGACCCTGAACCGGAACCAACCAAACCAATCGGACAAATCCTGGGTATCCAGACCCTCGGAAACAATCTGATCACGGGATCTGTGATGTGTCTTCCAACATATGTAAGGAGGGGGTCGTAGAGCCCCACCTTCTGAACGAAACAACCCCTCTGGGGCTCCTGTCACTCACCTGTGCTCCAGCTTCTTGCGGCTGATGCACATGGCCCGCTGGTAGCCTTGGGCGATGCACACCTTGTGGCGACTGCACTTCACTTTCTGGCAGGGGTCCTTGGTGGTGTCCAGGGCTGTGGGGACACAAGGTTGGGACCCTGACCACCTAGGAGAACCCTGGGTCCCCAGTCCAACCGCAGACCCCAGAGGTCCCTCTCCCCAGCAGCCCTCAGCAGCCAGAGTTCAGGACTTCCGGTCCTCAACCCCAGGTGTCGGCTGTTCAAAGAGGCCCAGAGCCGTCATAGCTCTTCCATTCCCATGGGTGCGAGACTCCTCCCACGTGCACCCGGAAGGGGCGTGCTACCTTCATCTCCTTGCTGATTGTCCTCCCAGCTCTTGATGTAGTCATCCTAGGAAGGGGGGGGGGATGGGAGAAAGGAAGGACCCCATCACATCTCAGGGTGAAGGCTCAACTTCGGGGACCAGGACGGGAGAGGCCCTGGGCTACTATTTGCACGTGGCAACCACGGTTGCCCACCCAGGCACCGCCCACAGCCTCCCCGCACTCGATACCCTAGAATCCTTTCCAGCCTCTCCCACACTCTCTCCACCCCACATTGGTGCTGGCAGGGGAAGAAGAGAAAACAGTTGGGGTGAGGCCTGGGTTGTACTCACTTCTACTTCCTGGAGACAGGATGCCATTGAATCCATGGGAAATGAGCAGGGGGAAAGAAAGAGAAAGGAGGGACTTCACCGGGAGGCCCACCCTCAGACCATGAGTCCCAAGGCCTCCCTGGCCTCCTTTGATTGTGTCTCTAAGCCCAGCAACACCATTTGGAGGCCAGTATTCCCATATCTTCATCACGGAAAATTTACGCTCTGGAAGCTACAAGGCAAGGCCCGTGGTTTTGACAGTGTAACAAACCCCAGGCCAATCCTGGCCCTGCCACCAAGGCAGACGCCTGAGGGGGCTGTGCTGCCTGGGATGGTGTCTCTCGTGCCTCTGCCCTGGGTTTCTCCCCGTTGCCCCTTCTTTGGCAGGCACCCTGCTGTCACCTGCCCACCCTGGGAGGGAGGTGTGAGGAAGAGCCCTCTCTTCCAAGCTGTAGGAAGGCTGGCAGAGCCCACACGGTGAACACTGGGAAGGGGACACAGCACCAGTGGTGGTGGCTTCCCCGAGCATGGACCAGGGAACCTGAGAGGTTCTTCCAGGTCACAAGAGCCAGCCCTTCCTGGGTGGGAGAAACAAGACACGGATAGTCAGCTGATTCAGATCACACCTTCTCTGAACCAGACCTCTGATGCCCGGCATCAGCCCTCTCTTCCCACTACATCATAGGGTCTCTGAGACCCGAAGCCCGAGACAATTCCCACTCTGTTGTGTCCCATGGCCCGGGGACCCCAGCCTGGCCAGAGGCAGGAAGCTTCCCATCTACCTCCCTCAGCTTCCTCCCTTTGCCCTTTGGAGTTTGCTGAAAGTCACCAAACAGCTTGCATGGTGTCTGGAAGAAACTCTGCCAGGCAGGTAGGGGCAGCTTCTGGACCCTGGAGGACATTATTACTGAGAGCCAGCCACCAGCCTTCTCTGCATGGGACACTGGTGAGAAACCACATACAGTCACCCGCAACCTGTCCTTAGCTTTGCCAAACCTCTGTCAGAGATGTGAGGGGTGGGCGTGGCATGGGCCTGACGTTTAGCTGTCGTGCCCAGGAGAAGGCATGTGGCTCTGGTATCACAGGAGAGCCCAGTGGGAACAACAAGGGCACACAGTGAAGAGATGCCCACGAGGGCTTTGGAAGCCTCCTCTGGAAATGGGCAAGTAACAGGACGGCGGGGATGAAGGCTCCCGTGGAAGAGCGGAACAGGCAATAGTGAAAATAAAGGGGGCATTTGTTCAGGCCTACCTAGGTGCACACATGTATGCCTAGGGGCATGCAGTGTGTGTGTGTGTGTGTGTGTGTGTGCGTGTATGTTCACGCAGTCATGTGTGCACACACGTCTTCCTCACTTGCAGGGGTTTGTACATGCGCATACAGATGTGCAGCACATGAACACCAGGGCACTTCAGGCCATCCACCAGTGCCAGATGGTTTGTATCCAGAAATGAAGTAGCAGACCCTACTTCTGTGAACAGCCTCCAGTTTTCACACTCAGCGCAGCCTTCCTGCCTCTCCCATACATAGGGAAGGTATTAAGGGATGGGTGGGAGAGAAGGGAGGGGCCCCCGAGAGGAACAGGCTCCCTGGGAGGGAAGGCTCTTAGGATGCCTCTGCCTATGCCTCTCTTGCTCTCTGTGTCTCTCCCTTCTGGCCTCTCCCTACCCCTTAGTTCTCTTCACCCTGGACCCCACAACGTGCTCAGTCAGCCAAGTGTCTCCCAGCTCTTGGGCTCAGGGTCAGACAGGAGAAAGATCAGCAGGGCCCAAAGCTCAGAGCTTGCTCTGGACGCCACAGGATGACTGTCACCCCCCCCCCGACTGCCACTCTCTCCTGGGGCCAAATGATGACAATTCAGTTCTAGCCCTTTTCCAACAGCATCTGGGGTGGAGGGCAGGGGTCCTCTGCTGGAATCCTCCCTTATCCGAGATGGGAAATGGGCTGAGAATGGTCAAGTGGCTGAGGCCAGCCAGGATTACCAAGCCTGAAGCAGAAGTAGGCACCAGCCTCTTTGGGGTAGGGGGTCTCCTGTTGCTCCCATTCTTCCCTGGGAAGAGGGTGGAGATCTGGTTGCTAAGGGGGAGAGGGGAGGCATGGTGTGGCATGTCTATAATCCCAGCAGTCAGAGCTGAGGCAGGAGGATACATATTGGGTACATATGTCTCGAGCAGAGGATGCTGGGATTAGCTGGGATTTGGGAAGCAGGTGTGAGTTGGCTGTCCTTGACTGTCAAGAGCTGTGCTCTCAACACCCACCCAATCCAACACTGGAGTGGGCAGGGCCTGAGGTGATCTATGATCTTCCCACTCAGGGGCACCCTCGAAGGGCTTTGGAGCCCACTCGTGTACTTCAGCTGGAACCCACTATAGTAGGAAGAATCCTGGGACTCAGTACAGAGTGGCCTTTTAAAGCTTAAGGTCAAGAATGTCTGACTAGAAACTCAAGTGATGGTGGGGGTGGCTTTGAAGAATCCACCCATACCATGCCCCACCCCAAGGAGGGGGTAGCCTCCATCTGACGGAGGAGGACAGAGAGGGACAGAGGAGGCTCTTCTGGATAGGAGCAACCTTCCAGAACCCTGCTAAGTCCTGTAGCCCCACCGCCATGCACAGCTGGGGAGGGACTGGAATCCCCTGCATCTCAGCCCCTCACTCCTGGGAGGGTAGAAGCAACCAGCCAGGGGGGTGAGAACAGGAGGCCCTGCAGTTACCCAGGGTCCCAGCTTCCCCTTGCTAGTACTTCAGACACACTCCTGGCCTCTCTGAGAGGACCACTCCCCACATGGAAGCTGTTCTGTCAACATGAAACTCAGATTTAGGTGCAGAGTGGGGGACAGAGATGAAAGGTGAGGGGCCCCTGGAAGTTTCAGGAAGAGAGGTCACCGCTGGAGAGCAAGAGTCCAGTAAGAATGGGAGAAGAATCACTCCCCATAGGGTCACAGGGAGAGGTAACAAAGGTGTCCTGCAGGCGCATGTGCGCACGAGGAGGTGGGGGTATATGGTCCTTCTGGGGTAGAAATGGGGAAACTCTGAGGCCAGATGGGGGTAGCCGGTACCATTTACAAGCCGATGAAGGTGATTGTGGTTAGCTGGGAATTACACCCTTCCTGCAATGTGTCTATTTATGGTACCCAAGTGGGCTTATTAGCGGTTGTGAAAAATGATGAGACAAGGGCACCTGGGTCTTCTTGGGAAAGAAGATGCCCTATGACTCTGCTACAAGACATCCTCACCTGACAGGGTTTGTAAGCCTTTCTCCAGCGCTCTGGAGCAGGAGCCAGAGCAGAGGGGAGATGAATGGGTACCCAGAGCTCTACACTGACGGAGGGACACGTCTGTCTTCCCTGCCTAGTGCACTCAGTAGGATCACATAGCAAACAGGTGAGAAAAACTTCTGGAGTGTATGAATGCACTGTGCTTGTAAGGAATGGTGATTCTGAAGTAAGTCCCCGGGCTGGGGCTACAGTTTAGTTGGTGGGGTGTTCACCCAGTATGCAGGAGGCCCCAAGACCCACCCCCAGGAGGCAGAAACTGTGTGTGGTAGCTCACTTACAATCCCAGCATTCCAGAGTTGGTAGAGGCAGGAGGATCAGAAGTTCAAAGCCATCTTCAGATACATGGTGAGTTCAAGGCTACCCTAGGACATAGGAGACCCTGTCTCTTTAAATGAATGGACTATGTCCTTAAAACACCACTCATCCACAAAAGCTCGGATCTCTCCCCTACACTTCATGAGGGGGGGGCACAGGAGTCACAGTAGGTCTCCCGATGCCCAAGTACCATCAGGGACTGCTGCAGTTACATGAGTCGGTTCTGGTCCATCTCTAGACAGCCAGAAGGCTAGGGCTCAAGTCTATACTCCCCACAGCTGTTTACGCCCTCTGATTTCTTCACCTCTACCGGAGCCCAGGGGAGGGAAAGAGCAGCCATTCCATCTCCCTCTGAGGGAGCTTCACGTACAGTGTAGTGTCACACCGCCCTCTCCAAGCCACCTCACCTCCTCCCCATCTCCTCTGCCTCCCCTATCAGGCTCTCCAGTCCACACGGGTTCTTCAAGGCAGCTAAGTTCAAATCCCTGCAGAAACCGCCAGTGGCTTTGCAGTCACCTTCCCCAGGCCAGTGGCCAGTTGTCCCCTTTTTTCCTGATCATGTCCCCTTGTTATCTACCAGAGCAGTTTGCACTCATTTGTTTAGAAGGGTGGATGGGGGCAGGGTAAGTTAACACTATCAGAGTGTCAACAAGGTGCTTCCTCCGCGGGGTAGGGATGCAGAAAACACTTAGCATCTTTTTGCTCTCCCCCATCTTCAATTTTTCTTCTGAGCTAACATGTATGGTTTTTACAGCAAGGGGGGGGATCACCGTAAATGTTACATTTAGAAACCCTCCCCAGGTTCCCTGACACTTCCGGAAGGTTCCTCTCTTCGTCTGTGTCTGACCACCTAGCCCAGCGTCCACTGGGGTCTCTCAGCAGGTCACGGCTTTGCATAGCTGCCTTCTTCACTTGGCACATGTGTTCCCGTCTGACCCCAGACCAGCCCCAGCATCATCTTCCCAAACCCCACCCTTGCCTGGTTATCCTATCTTGGAGAGTCAAGTGTTGCTCTGGTGACACCCAGCAATGTCACTGTCTCTGCTTCCCTGCCTTATTTACACAGCCAATCCCTTAAGGGAAGATACCATGTAAAGTTCAGCGCTCCCCGACCAGCACCCAGTACACCGTGATAAGGCTAGTAACGACAGCCACCGTCTTTATACCAAGTACCACGGGGGAAGCTTTATGTTAAGTACTTTCTACTCCCTGCCTTGTTTACTCTTCACAGAAACCCTAAGAGAAACTTACTGCCGCTATCTCCATTTCTCAAGTGAAGAAACGGAAGCTCCTGGAGGTTAAGTGACTTAGGAAGGACCTCACAGCAATTGCTTGACAGAATACTGGCCCCAAAACCCATGTCCTTAAACAGCACACCATAAATGTTAACTGAGAAAGACAGACCTAGGTCGGGTAGAACCAGCAAGTCCTATTCCAG